ATCAGTCTGGTCAACTCATCCTCGGCTATCCGGGTAACCACTCCACTTGGGAAATTGGGCCGCCACACCCAACCACTCCAAGCAGCGCATGCGCATGTCCGCAGGTTCGAAAGCTGCTCAGGAATTGATCAACGGCCACCAGGAGCAGCTGCAGTTTGATCCTCACTGATCAGCAATTGAAGTTTGCCTCAAAGTCTATAGGAACCAAATGAGTAGTGCGTGAGCACCGTGAGCTATCCTGCGTTGATACTAGATGATACTAGTAGCTACTTAAGCTATCTTAAGCTTAGCCACCTCTTGCGGCCTACCCCCACCCCCGGCGCTAAAAATAAAGAAGTCAAACAACACAGGCTGCCAGGCGGGACAGGTTTTTTTCCGCATGCCAATGCGTGGACCGCAGATGTACCACGAGGAAGCCGTTTCCTCCGATTCTTCGGACTGGCCACCGGTCTTGAGCTGCAAGACACTGATGGTGGTTTGTGTGTTGATGGTGGGTTGAGATGAAGTTATTATTTGTTTTATTTCATTGTTCGGTGGGGTGGTCACGTGGCAAGAACCAAACGTCAGCTTTCCACCCCTCCAAGCGAATTGTCCAATTCAGATTGAACAGTAAATCCCTGAAAGTCATCCGGAGCAACCAAGGCAGCAACCGAAAACCACCCGCCACGAGCCCTCTCTACTGTCCACAATGGTCTCCCTTGAAGATTTTACTGGTCATGCTAGGAGTGCGATGAGAAGCAGCTACGCTTGGACAGCACCCTGGCTCTCAGACTGGAGGGGAGGTTCTCGTAGATAGCCTGGGGATGCCCGGGGTGTTACTGTAGTTGATTTACTGAATTCGATTTGTATAGATTATATAGATGTTTTGGGGAAGCCATATCAATCACCACACGATTTGAGCCCGTCAATCTCCCACTGATCATCACTGACCTCCTTCACTGGAAGGGAAGCAAGAACATTTGGATCCTGGTGACCGTAGGCCTAGTAGTCCTGGTGACCGGCCCAGTAGGCTTGCTCCTGCCGTTGACTTGATTCGTGCGTCTGCCGTTGACTTCCGCGTGGGTCTGAACGGCGCCGCTGAACGCCCGCTGAACGCCCGCAGAACGCCCCGCGTTTCGCACCAAGGCGCCGTGTGCGCCTTACAATCCCACATGGCCACCAGCTGCGAAGGCTACCGCACCTGCCGTTCCGCAGCCTTGAGCGGCGTGCGCTCCGTGAACGCCACCGTGGCCTGGAGCGAGTTGGGACGGACCGGGTGAGGAGGAGAAAGCAATCACTTGTTGGGGGTTGCTTGGGGATGTGTGCTGTTTGGGGGGTCAGGAATTCGAGCTTGTATGTGTGGAAGATCGTGTTTGACGTGTTGCTGGAGGTGTGGACAAGCCAGGAAAGTAGATTCAGTTCTGAAGTGTTGTTCTGGATTAACTACGTTATCGCTAGGTTACAGGTCGATATGATTGAACCTAATTTAAGTAATTGGCTTTTTTCCTGCAGGTTCGCAATGGCTGGCAAGTGCTGTGCGAACTGGGCGGTGTACATGATGTAAGGTTCTTGAGCCCCAAGGTAGTGAGAGACTATGCCAGATGCCAAATACAGTGCTTTGGGTGCTGTACTACAGTACCCACTGTGCATGTAGTCCACTATCATAAGCTGGTGATGCTTGATGCATGTTTGTTCCTGGTGTTGATGTGTTTCAGCTTAATTCCTTTAACATCAGAAGCCCTTGCCAAACTGTAAGACCCAACATGCTTCACGAAGCCAACCACCCGCAGATCGCGGGATCCAGACCAGCAGGGAGACTTGCTGTTTTTAGACGCCGTCTTACTCTCTTTTTGTTTCTTGGTTGACCCGGATCCACCGGATCCACCATCCAGATCCACCGGATCCTGCATGTTCCCCCCCCCTTCCGCCCTGTTCATCACGCGGGCATCGTCAGGTGCAGAGCGCCGAAGCAGAAGTCCAGGCCACCTGGACCCTGCTCACCAAGGCGCGCGGAGGCGAGCGAGCGCGGAGGCGGTGGTGGAACATGGTGGGACATGGTGGGACGGTGCCGAACAAAGACAGATCATGACAGATCTTTTATGGACCCTGCATTCCATACCAACACAGCTCCACACAGCTCCAGCCAGGGCTTCTCTAAAGGTGCTCCTAGCCACTCTTGCCTTAAGTAATTATTCCTGGGTATGTGGGCATATGGGGAGTCTAAGGTGCCATGACATATGATTTGTTTTTCTGCAGTTCGGCCCCACACTGGTGCTTCTGGAGTTCGGCCCAGCTTTTGGAGTTCGTTTCGAGCCCGGCACCTTTGAAAGAAGTGGGATCAAATGGACATATGATATTTGGCCGTGGACCCAAAAGCAGGAGACAGGAGACCCCGGTTGACCAAAAGAAGGTCCTTCACGATGGACTGGTCGGGCTCCAGGTGGGTCACGACCCATATCCCCATAGAGTCGACCCCATGTGGTTTTCCAGGTCACTGGTCTCGTTCGTGTGTCTTCCACAGCATCCGCGACAGCATCCCAGGTGCGCTGCATGATCGAGGGTGCTCAGCAGAAGAACGTTTCGAAGGTTCAGATGTGTCTGGAGCAAACGAACGTCAGCCTCAAGAATCTCACCATCAACTACACCACGGTGTCTCAGAGCATGGATTGCTGCGGATTGCTGGTGGATTGTTTGCGGCTCAATTGCTTCTTTTCTGGTGGCACACCAATACCATCCGGCAGTTATATGCCCCCATCCACGGTATTAATAACGATGGTTGGATGTTCGAAAAGCATTGATGCGATTCACCAGTTTGTGAGCTTTTAATCCAAGTGGCGTGGATTGCAAGCCGTGAGCGGTATATAACAGAAAGGATTCATAAGGATCGACCACCGGAAGATGAACAAATGTAGGCCCTGCAAAAAGATATGGGTTTATGTAGACGGGTCCGTTTCAGTCATTCTAGGTACTAATTATATGCAACATTATGTAAATTAACAAGCTAAGTTTGCCATGGAGGTAGGATAGGATAGGATAGGACAGGATAGATAGGATAGATTTGTGTCTGCCTGCCAGATCCCTTTATTCTAGAAGTTTACCATCTTGAAAAAAGCAAACAAAAAGCAACAAAAAGCAATCACAAAATGCAACCAGAAAAACAAAAGCAATCACAAAAGCAAAAACAGAGCCAAAAAAAACAACCCCAAAATGCAACCAGAAAAACAAAAGCAATCACAAAAACTGACAAAACAAAAGCAAACAAAATTGCAAGCAAAAATGGAACAGCTCAGCCGGGCTTTCTGGGGTAACTTGCGCCATCTACTTTCAATCGACTTTAAATACACAACAATCCTTCGCGTTCGATGTGGCTTCAGGTGCCTGCCGTCACGCCCTGCCAGACTTTGGTCGAAGCGCCCGGGTCCCCTGACTACATGGAGGCCCTGTACGGACACGTGCCCAAGCGCCTCGGTCGGCGAGCTGGCTGAGTCTCGGGGGGGACGCCTTGTGGGGGGACGTCTCGTGGATTGAGATGGATTGAGAGTAGAGGGCACAGGAGGTTTATATAAGCCACTCTCTAAGACATCTCGGGGTGCCATCGTGCCATCTATCTACTCGTTCTATAGTGTTTGCGGCGGCATTTTGTGTGTGTGTGTGCTGTTCTTTCTTCACACCCTCCACGATGGACTTTTTGGTGCGGGAAAAGAAACCCGGCCACTGAAGAGAGCACCCAGCTCGCCCAGGAGAGCACCAGCCTCTGCATGCCAAGCATCCTGCTGCCACTGACATTCTTTGCCGAGCTCTGGCTTGGCTGCTCAGTCGATTTTCGCAGCTCGCGGATCAAAAAAGCAGCAGCAGAAGAGGCAGAGAACGCGGGATGGAGGCAGAGAAGGCTGGACGAGGGTTCTGGAGCAAGGAGTTCTGGTGATTCTTAGATATCTTAGATAGCATCGGCAACTCACCTTGTTTTCACTCATCGCAGGGCTCATCTTTGTGACTTTAGAACATCTCGAATCTGGACGTTTAGGTTTCTGCTCCTTTACTGCAATCTTGCCAGATCTTGCCGGCATTCTCTTGTCCACCTCACTGTCCTTACAACGATGCGAAGTGGAGCCTTGACAATGACAAAGGGCATCGTCATGCACAAGTGGTGTCCTCCGCGCACGTCTGACACGCTTTGGGCTCAAGAGAAGGACATGGACCATCGTTTTACTGATAGAAAAACGAGTTGTAGAGGTTCCGATCCTGCAATATCCTGCACAGAGTTTTGGCCAAGAGTCAAGGATATTATTACGCATCAGAAAGCATTGATCGCTCACAGACTTGTTGGTTTCAAGGGTTCTCCACCATGTTCAACCACCTATTCCCAAACCATCAAAACTTTTAAGTAACAGATCAATACATTGATGGCCTGCCAGATGTTTCCAACTGTCACAACTTGCCTTGGAGGGTCAGCTGCCTCGATGGACTGCAGCTGAGGCGACAAGGGAAGGCGTTGCTGAGATGGCTGGTTGGAGCCAGGATTGGTTGGGAATGAATATGCCCTGGCTCCCAGACCCACATGGAACCAGAAAATCATCGAACTCCCACATGGTTTGTGGAGGATGGAAAGCTAGTTGTGCCATGACGTCACTTGTCTCAGGTTCCATGATGTTCCATAAGTGTGCCCACGAGAGAGTCTTGAACTTGGCACCTGCATGGGCTGATCATAGCTGATCTGCGGATTTTCATTGACCGCGGCACGTCATAGATTTCACAATGAGGCCATTGAACTTCAAGGTCTGGGTGTTCAAACCTAGCTAAGCTGAAAACCATACACAGTCACACAGTCATACCCAGAGCTACACTACTTCAGCGGCATCCTCCCAGACATTCTTCCAAAGTAGCTCCTCCCAGTGAGTTACAACACAAACGCTTAACTTAGAGTTTTGCCCACGTCTTCTACATTCCCCCACTTCCTGAGTGCCTTTTTTGTATAGCATGCTATAGCTCCCAGTGTACCACATGGGTGCCATGAGCCTCCCATGCCACGCCGCTGGTGGATCACACACCAAGTGGCTCCGCTGGTCACTTGGCGGAGCCCGACCAACGAGGTCCGGGAGGTGATAAACAGGAGCTATACTAGTTACTAGTAGCTTCTTGTTCCGTTCGTAGCGACGCCATTTGTTCCTAGTAGCTTCTACAATCTGCCATAGATTGCAAGAAAGGCATGGCTTTGCGTGAGTGTTGGGTGATTTTTTGCTTCTTTTTAGACCTGTGCGGTCTATACATGTGCTTCTAAAAGGATGCATTCTTTTTCCAACCGTTTTTTCCCAGTCCCTTAAGCAATAATGGCTAAGATTGGCGATAGGCATATATTGGAATGACTAATTGTTTCTAAATCTCAAGCAGAGAGGAGCTGACGGCCACCGAGCTGAATTTGGATTGCTCGGAGCTTTCGGGTGGAAGGTGACAGACCTGTCAGAAAGGATGCCCAGACCTTCTCGGGTTCGATGCGACTGGACTGACCCTCCTGGCACTGTCCTACATCAAAGAGTGTCCAATCATCATAAAGAGGGCGGCAGTGCATTCATAGGGGAGGATAATACCTGCATGAAGACACCTAGAGGAAGATCACAAAGTGGGAACAAACCATGATATGCTAGAAATACCCTGCGATTGGGGCGGTGCCCGCGGCGGCGCGGTTGATGGATGTTTATGCGGGTGGGGCAGTTGCCTTGCAGCCCTTGTTCTCCGCACAGACGAGGTATGCCTCATGCTTGTGTTCCTCTCATCGGCGAGGCCTGCGCTTTTGACGAAGCCTCATCACGTTCCGTCCACAGTCTCAAAACACTGCACGGAGCAGCACAAGCAGCATGTGGTCCTTCCCTGGGCATTTCGCCGACTAAAAGGATCTAAAAGGCCTGAGTGAATCGCGCATGAAGGAACAAACCATTGAGACTTGTATTTGTGCACCTTGAAAGCCAGGCCTGGCCGCGTGGCAAGCCCCGGGGTTGGTGGTTCGATGGAGGTGCCAGATGTGCGATTCCGTGGCTGGAGAGTGCAGCAGTGCACACCATTGCACACCGACATTTACCGGTTCAGAGATGCAAAAAGTTGGCTCCTGGCAAACGAACATGTTAAAACCCTGTCAGATGTGCCGTGAATTTGTGGGGGGATCATGTATGGAGGATTATTGCAGCCAAGTCTTTTTATGAACAAGCCATTATCGGCAAACCGGAACTGACCAATCATGAAGCATATCCACGTGCATGTGCATCGTATCCTTGGTGTTTTCGCAGAGCCTCAACCACTCAGTGCAGGTCGCTCCAGAACGGCGGAAACGGCGGAAACGATGGACGCCCCAAACTCCCGACGAGCGCTTGATGTGGGCTTTGGGCCACTTGGTGACTGGCCATGCCGGTTTTTCGGTCCGGGCCGTGGTGGCGGGCTGCCAAGAAACAGGTGTGGTGTCATTGATCCACCAACGAGAAGTACGAAAGCTTTCGGAAAATCATTGGATTCCCAGTTCAGTCCGTTTTGGAGGTAATTATACCGTATACCTGAGCTGAAGGATGTTGAAGCTATGAGGCTTGTCATGGGAGCCCAGCGGCCTGAATTTCTACAGTAACTACTAACTATACTTTGGTTCCTGCCTGAGGGGGTTGCTAGAATTGAGGGCTTTTTTGGCATGCAACCAACGAAAAGTGCAATCCTGGGACTCCTTGGCTTCACTGAGATTACAATCTATGCACCACCCAATGGGTCTATCAATCATGTTTCTCTAACTCCCTCTCAACCAATATCAAGGATGCTCCAGTTTTCATTAGGTTGGAGGCCATCGCTAGTAGGTTGGAGGCCACCTTCCCACTCCTTTGGATCATGTTTCCTCAGGCTGCGAGCTTTGGCTCGCCGGCCGCGACGTGGCCTTGGCCTCACGCAGCGTCCTCCGCGGCGAAATCGGCGCCACCGCGGCGCCCGCGGCGCCCGCCCCGCGCGGCGGCACGAGGCGTGGTGATGGGGCGGTTGAGGCCACTGGGAGAGGTTGAGCGTTTCGGCTTTCGACCACAAATCCGGGTCGGATGGGTCGCGGAAGCTTCACCTCGTTTGAAGAAGTCATTTGAGTGCAGCAAGCCCTCAATTGTTTTTTGATTATTCGGAAGCTCTGAAGGCAGATTCCTTTGTTGGGGTCTACTGCTCCACTTGTGTCTTCGATTCACCGGTCGGTGGGCTTCTCCGTCGCATCGATTGTGCTCCGTCACCCGGAAGGTCTCACCTGCCGACAGTCCTGCAGGAAGGAGGCAGCGCCTTGCAGGATGGATGATCCGCTTGGTCGCATTTCTCGGTGAGGTAGTTCACAGTCCGTTCCATTTCTGAATAGGTGTCAAGTAGAACATACTTAGTAGAACCAGCCGCTCCTTATAATGGACCCTTCTGATATTTAATCTTCAGGTTGTAACATATGGTGAGTTGAAGTTGGGATGTTGCATTTCCCGTTGCACACTGGTTTGACCGTTAATGGTGATTCAGTTTTTTTTGACTGGCCGAATCCAGCTTGATACCCTCCCAAGGTCATCCCTTCCAAATACACCTCCCAACCTCCCTGCACTAACCCTGAATGGGTCGCGTTCCAATTTTGGTGCCGCGGTGTTGCCACGGTGCCAGACACGGGGCCGACACGAGTGTTGCCAGGAGGCTGGTGCAGCCTTTCTGGACGCACGCTGGAGCTCTGCCATGGTGCAGCTGGAACGAGTAGCCCAGACCAGCCAGGAGTATTGGCCCAGCAGAGGCCAGGGGCTTGGACCCGCGCCAGGAGGATCTTTCGAAGGAACTGCTATAGGTCCCTCAGACACTTGGCTGGAAAGCTCAGGTTCACTCGCTCGAGGGTATCAAGTAAGATCAAGTAAGTAAAGAACATTATCATGTTGCTTGCCCTCCTGGTACTGTTTCTTAGGGAATGTTCTCATGTGTCTTATCATGTCATCATGGGTTTGCTTTTGACATTCTTTCTATTTATTATGATTTGTTCAGATTGTTGTCCAATATCGGCAGAGCGTGACTTGAAGCCAAAGAATGGAAAACATAGGACTCACCCAGCCCTGGGCATTGCACTACACGAGGCTTTCACTTGTGCTGCTGATGTCGCCGGCTTCCGCAGCCCCACAATGCAGAATCAGACCAGGGCGGTTCTGATGATTCTGATCTAAACGGTGTGAACCGTTCTAGACCCGACATGGCTGCAAAACTCGACCCTCCCTTGGTGCACCGTCCCTTGGACAACTGGATGTACTGAGCTCATTCTCGAATTGTTTTTATGGACAGTGCAGGCCCTTGGCGTATTGGACTTCCCAGACCCTCCCAGCCTTGGAGGCTTCGACGACCTCATTGCCTTGGTCTTCGCCACGTCGTTGCGGCGCGGATCCGTCAGCCCAGCGCGGTCGCCAGCGGACTCCTTAGAACATCTGGCACAAGGCGCCGTAGGGGGCCAGAGGCACCTGGGGTTGTTACCATGATGTTTAAAATGTGGCTCACACTCCCTGAAACATACTCTATGTGGATGGCCTGGCCCCGAAAGGATTCTGACATCTGAAGATCAAACAGATGCTTTTTGTTCCACTTGGATGATTTCAAGGAGTGGAGTGTGGTGCACCAGAAGGATCATCTACACTGTTGCTGTTTGGTCGATGTGTTTCTGCCGCCGTCAGGCTTGGATGCGTGGGCCTCTGGTGGCCGTTGGGTTGTGATGGCGGTAACCGGCGAACGGTGACAGTCATTGAGCGAATGAAAGGGTGGACTGCAACGATGTGCAACGACTGGGCTTCTTTAAACACGGTATAGGCCATTTTTTGGGCTATAGGTGTATCTAGTTTTATGACAGCATGTAAGCGATGCATCATATTATACACAAATTGGTGCTTTTTTTTGGTGTGGTGTGTTTTTTTGCAGCAGTTGCCGCATCCCATTTGTGTGGCCCATACCTCCACCGCCCGCCCAACCACCCAACCACGATCACTGCAAGGTGGCGATCGAAGACATTGACCACAACTGCCAGATTCAGCAGCTCGACAGTGGCGGGTGGTGGATGGCACCATGTTTCAGAGGTGTTGGAGGGTCAACACGGTCAACACCCATGTAAACACTAGCTGTAACTGGGAGATCATCTGAGTGTTCTTCAGGTCTGCTTCAACCTGTGAGAAACACAAAACTGTAACAGTAACTGTAACTGGTGGGGGGTGTCACCTATACCCTCGATCTAGGTATCTCAACCCGAAGTTTGGGTGGCTGGCATTGTGTGTTCAACGCTCAGTCGGCACACGTATGCCGCATGGTCCGGGGTGTTTGTTCATTGTGTACCATTTGGCTAAATGACTTCGAAGCTACCCTCCCAACCAGGGCCCACGGATTCACTTGGCCTTTGCTATGGCAACAAACGCTTCTAGGCTGCAGGCTCTTGATTAATAACCTCCCTCATTTGAATGGAAACACCATATGAAGAGGGTTATTTACAGCCTTCGGCATGCCGCCGGCCATCAGCTCGAGCCCGCACGGCTGGTCGCCATGGCCCGGGCGTGTGTAGCTGTGTGTAGCTATTGTGTTTTTTTTTGTGTGCAGGTTATGCAAAGGTTAGCTAACAGAGTGTACGATATCAAAGTGCGTGAAAACAAGGGGTTTGTGCGCGACATGACTTGGAACATGCATGCTGGCTGGAGATGTTTGTGTCAATGAGGTGCGGCGTCAAAACGAAGTAGTGTAAGAGCCATGTAAGTGGAGAGCAACTGGCCAAAAACAAAAGCTGCGCTGGTGTAAAAGCGAGTGGGCAGCGAACAGTACTTGCAGAGAGCGCGTGTGTAACACAGAGCTTCTGCAAAAGCGACATGTAAGCGAAAAAAAAGTAGCGAGGAAATGATTGCAAGGGGCTTGTGCGCGACATGACTTGGAAGGTGCACAGGTTGCGGTGTCAGAACGAAGTCGTGTAAGAGCCATTTCCTAGAATAACGCCGTGACAGTGTAAGCGATATAGAACCCAATTGGCAGCGAGTTCCCGCAAAACGCGTGGAAAAACCAAGGTTTTTATACGTTTTTCTACACGCGCGACTGTGCGCCAATGCATGGCCTGCTTGAAAAAGACGAAGAGGGGGAAGAGAAGGAGAACGAGAACGAAAAGAGAAGAGAAGCGAAGACAAGAGACGAGACAAGGCGACAAGACAAGACAAGGCGAGAGGGGGGTAGGAGCGCCTCAACATTAAAAGACGAAAAATGAGTTGGGAAGATG